TTTTGCATTTAATGGAGTTGTGAGGGAACGGTTCGTTTCTCCACAGGGATATGCCTCTTGTTTGCCTGGAGAAACCCTGGCAGACCCATTGCTGTGGGACAAGCAGCGTTGCATGAACAGGGTGAGGTGACAGATGTCGAATTGCTAAATGCCAACAACGAATTGGTCCCTTAATTTCCCCTCTGAAAATTCAGCGGGATCGCTTTTTCTAGCGACGTGATGCTTTGGGAATTGCATCCCTTTCTTTCCAGTGGAGTGTGTTAGCTCTGATGGGAGCTGTGGAAGTGAAAATAGGATTTGGTGAGGTTTCCTGAACTGTACTGACTGGAGCTGTGCTGACACCTACGCTCAAGTGTCTGAGCACAGACCCGAATCCAGTCCCTGGAGCTATAAATAAGCAGCCCCATCTGCTTGTGACAGTGCATTGCTGCTGGGGTAATGCTGCCTGTAGCTTGGTTACCGCTTTTTCTCCCTTTCTGTGGAAAATCCTGGTGAATTATTGGGTGATCACAGCAGCCTTAGCACAGTGGGTACAAGACCACGGGCTTTCAGCCCTCACTCCCCCTCTGTGAGTGACCTCTGTGCGTGGAGCTCAAGGGGGCTGAAGGAGGCTGGTGATGTACCCACTGGCAGGAAATACGGAGGAGGGACTCCTTGGGGAGAAATTCTTTGGGATGGTTACAAATGTGGTTCTTTTTCCCTTTGGTTCAGGTTGTTTCAGTGCGATTTGTGTGCGTCTGAAGGCGTGAGGAACATATTGTGTAGAGTCTCTTTACCTTTGAGCAGCCTCAGCCTTCACAGCTTAGTCTGTCAATCAGGAGCTGGATGGGTTTCTCCTTTCTTTCCAGGAAAGCACTGACAAGGTACCAGATGCTTTTCAGACACATGTTCTATTGCAAACATGTGGAAAGGCAGTTGTGCAACGTGTGGATCAGCAATAAGACAGCCAAGCAATTCTCCCTGCATTCAGCTAAGTGGTATGGCCTTTTTCTTTTTTTTTCAGCTGGGTCAGTTTTGGGTTTCCTTCTTGCTGTTTAGGTACATCATGACATGGCTCACATAATATTGACATGAAAAAGATCCTTACAAGTGTTTTACAGACTGGGAGAGCTCAAATTATAACATTTTAGGTTTCACTCAATAGTTACACTAGTAAAATTGCTTTAATATTTAATATTAAAATTTTATTTGAATGTAGGCAAATATTCAAAGTCATTGTCCATTCTACAACAGGTTCAAAACTCTGACTCTATTAACTGAGGGAAAACCATTGGGATACGTGGAAAATAATCAGAGATGGTTTGCATTGGCTTTATAATCCCTCTCACACTGCAGCAGGGAATTTGCTAGGACAGAAATATTTAGCTCTGCTTCGCTGTGCAAGCCTGGTGATAGTTCTTGGTGGCATTTGCTAGCTCTGAGCTGTGTGGGTGTGATTTCTCCCCTAGGTTTGCTGGTGCTTTCACACTGCGGCAGCGGATGCTGAATTTTGTGCAGAATATCCAGTATTACATGATGTTTGAAGTGATGGAGCCAACATGGCACATTCTTGAGAAGAACCTGAAGTTGGTGAGTGTGGGTGCTGGAGGGAAGTTGGAATGGAGGTCTTAGCAAATTTAATATAGGGAAAAAAATACCTGATCTCAGTTACTGCAGGAGTCTGTTGGTTTTGTTGGAGGCACTTGTAGTGCTGCTGTTCTGCATCACCTTTCTGCTTCATCAGTCATAAACCCCTTCCCTGTGCTGCATCCTCCTGTCTGCCCAGCTCACACCCTGCACCCTCTTATGTAAGGGCTGTTCTGCTGAACATTCCCATACACAGAAGAAAGAGAACTGTGGAAAAGGAAGAAGGATGCAGAGTGCAAAGATCATAAACCAGTCCAAACATCTCCAGCTGATTCTTTGGCTGACTTACAGTGCTCTTAAAAATGGAATCTGTGCTTTCTCTTCCATGCAGCTGCCAAGAACTGGGATGCTAGGACTGTCCAGTATTAAACAGGGCCTTCCTGATTCAGGTGGCTATTCCACATGTCTGTTCCCACTGCAGGTGGGCAAGGCTGGAGCACTTCTCCACTGCAGTGTGATCTGGGAGAGGCTAAGCTCACTTCCCTGTTGAGCTGAGCTCACTTATGCCTATTGAGAGGGGATCTGGGCAAGGCATCATTTGGGTTCCTTTCACAGAGATGTGATGTCCTGAGCTGTGGGATTTTCCAGATGTGTTACAGAATATTTCAGGTTCACTGCTCTGAGTAACTTCCCCAGAAGTTCATTAACAAAAAAATGCAAGAATCAGGTTTTATCTCATGAGGGACATGCAAGATGCCTTTATTGTATCTTGGAGAAGAACACATGCCCAGCTCATGTCCCACCTGCCTGTCTGAAACCAGGAATGAGAAGTTGTTCTGAGCTTCAGGACATCCCATAATTGTACAGAGTGAGAGGGGGATTTTAATCTATCATTTAAAACTCAGGACTGAAACAGCCCATTGAAGTAGCAGAGCTGGACAAAAATCTTACAGAATCCTTGCAGCACTGCATGTCCCAGTTCCTTATTGGCTCCTGAAGCACATTTCTGAATAACCTGTATGTTTAAAGCCTTATATGTTTATTGACATTTAAGGTTCTTTGATTTGTTTTTCTCTTTTCCACTTATTTTCCCTGAGATTGTGAAGGTGGGAGTGGGCATGACAGGCACATTTAAAAGCAAAGGAAGTGCATGTTCATAAAGCAGATAACTCCGTCCTTTCCAGTGGAGGGTTTGGGTGATTAAGGAAAGCATAATTTGGTTGAGGAGGTGATGTGACAAATCAAAGGTTAAAAGCCTTTGAAGGCAGTAATGCAGATTCAGTCTCCATCTCAGGATGTTTCTGGAAGGTACATGAGGAGTTTCTCACCAGCATGGCTGAGAGATCCCTGTCAGGGCAGGGTGCTGGGGTACAGCTCTGGGAGAGTGCAGCACATCAACCCTGGTTTGGTTTGTCACTGCTGTCCTGTCCTGTCACAGGCATCCAACATTGACGACGTCCTGAGCCACCACACGAGCTTCCTGGACAACTGCCTGAAGGACTGCATGCTGACCAACCCAGAGCTGCTCAAGATCTTCTCCAAGCTGATGTCTGTCTGTGTCATGTTCACAAACTGCATGCAGGTGTGTACAGCCCTGCCAGCTGCTCTGGGTGCCAGCCAGCTGGGACAGTCCCTTTTGCCAGCCCCTCCTGTGCTCAGCCTCTGTGGACGAGCCTCAGTTCTCTCTGTCAGCAGGCTTTGGAGCCTGATGGCTCACACCCTCTCCCAAGTGGTTTCTGTGGCCTCTTGCTCCACAAAATTCCCTGTGCTCTCCTTTTTCCATGTTGAGATCATGTGAGTGGAATTCCCTCTCTCCAGCCAGTCCTGCAGCAGAACTTGGGGTGTAAGTTGTAGGGCTCTGTAGAGGCATTCTTTTCAGGGTCAGGTGGTTGGACTGATGGAGACTGGGCACATTCTGGCCAGCACCAGGGAGCCCATGGCTTTAAAAACGCCCACCTTCCTCTGGGTTTAGGGGGATCTGTGTGTCACCATCATGAACTGAGCCTCAGAGCTGGCTTTCCTGGGAGTCCAGCAGCCGCAGGGCGAGCAGAGCTGAGCCTCCTGCTTTGCCACGGTGGAAAGAAGGGGCTGTAACCATTTCCCCACCCCTGTGCCCTTGCCAGAGGTTCACCCAGAGCATGAAGCTGGACAGTGAGCTGGAGAGGCTCACCCTGGAGCACGGCACCATGCTGGGCCCCCCCACGGAGGAGGAGCGCGCCGAGGAGGCTGCCAAGAAGAAGCTGACCAACAAGGTGGGACACGGGGAGGGGTGGCCGGGCCCTTCCCTCTGCCTGGGGGGCAGGCTGGTCGGGACAGTGCCCCAGCTCCTGCAGACAGACCTTCCTAGTTCCCAGAGCACCCCAAAAGCACAGTCTCTGTGGAGTTGTGGGCGGTGCTGGAGCACTGGTGGTGGTCTCAAAGTCTGCTTTGAAGGCCCTGTCTCCCACAGCAGTCCCTGCTCTGTTTTTTAGGTTCTTAGTTGTATTTTCACTGTGCAGTGGGTACCCCCAGCGAGGCTTTCTGCAGCACTAGAGCTCTCTGATTTCCAGAGCTCTGCTGGGGTGTGAGGTGGGCTCTTGGCAGCCCATTGCCTTCATACCTGGGATATTTGTCTTGTCCATGTTTCTGTCCCTGGATGCACAGAGGATGTGCTTGGTGTGCTCTGCAGCCTGTCTTGGGCAGCACACAATTTCTGCTTAATGTCTTTTCCCCCTGCTTAAAAATAAACAGTGGCAGCATATATATAACTCTACTGGGTCTGTTTGTGGATAACTCTACTGGGATCTGCTCCAGGGTTCTCCCAGGCTGGGCACAGCAAGGATTTTAACTACTAAGAACTCTGCAACTGTCTTGGAAGTGTCATGGCAGTAATTCTGAGCAGGTTAGGAAAAGGAGGGAATAATTGTATGTCCTTGGCAAGGGCAGATCAGCAAACACATGGGGCCACTCTGCCTTTGTCTCTGCAGCTTTTAGCAGAGCATGCTGACAACCTCCACCTCACATCTGGCTTTGAAGCCACCATCAACAAGTTTGACAGCAATTTCTCCACACACCTGCTGGACCTGCTGGACAAACTGAGCGTTTACAGCACCAATGACTGTGAGCACAGCATGCTCAACATCATCTACAGGTGAGCCAGTCCTTTTCTGTCTGTAACTTCCCCTCCTGTGGGGCCCAAATTCAGCTCAGGAATTGCTGATTATAACTGTGCATCAATGAAAACACTGGAAGCACAAGAAATATATATATTTGGGAGCTCTGAGCAGCCTGGTTTAGTGGAAGGTGTCCCTGCCCCTGGCAGAGGGTTGGAAACAGATGAGCTTTAAGGTCCCTTCCAACCCAGTCCATTCTATCATACAATGCTTTGAATTTCAACCTAAAGCTTGGAAAAAAAAAAAAAAACCAAAACACATTCCTTTGAATTATGTGAAATTTGTTTATTAATATTGTAAATGTAGTGTAAGTTTTCCTGGGGATTGTCTCACTCTGGAGACAGTGGATACTCTGATTCCTGAATACAGCATGAGTATCCTGTGATGAGAAAGCTGTGCAGGGGTTTGGTCATAAAGTGGCTGGTTTAAGTTCACATACTGCATTTCTTTCAATAAGCAGCCTCTTGGAAATCAGAATTCCTCTGGAAATACCTAAAAGTCAGGTACATAAGATATGAGAGAGAGAGAGAGAGAGAGGAGATGGAGGTTTTGCTGCTGGGTTTATAACCTGCGTATTTTCAATAAAATTACCATGGAAGTTCTGTTCACTGCCCATCTTTTATGGCTGGCTGATAACCCTCACACCTCTGCTGAGATGTGCTACCCCTGAAAGCAGAGAGAGAAAAGGTTTCAGCAGTGGTTTTTTCAGGAGGTTGTTGTCCCCTCCTCATGCCTTTGTCCTTTTCTAACAGCATCTGGCAGGGCTGTCGAGGGATCCTGGTACTGACCTTTGCAAACACTGTTTGGTGAAGTATTCCCATGGGAAACTGCTCTTCCAGTTGTCCTTTTCTTCTGAGAACTTCTTGTGCAGCCAACTCCCACACAGTCACACAGCCCCTGGCCTCCTGCTCGAGCTGAGAGGTGTTGCCATGGCTGAGGCCAAGGCTGAGCACTAGACCCTGTCATCACTGTTACCTTGGTGCTTCCAGGAGCAGAGTCCAGCCCCCCAGCTCCCACAGCACTGCAGAGAATGTCTTGGCTTCTTCCTTGTAGGATTGTATTCCTTATTTAAGGATACTCACAGGCATCTGAAAGGAAATGCAGTGCCACAGGGCTGCTTGGTGCTCTGAGCTCTCCCACTTCCACCCCCCTGTCAGGGTAGGAGCTTCCCAGCTCCAGAGCTGCCCCTGTGGGTGGATGCTGAGTCCCTGAAATGGGAACTTAGGGCTTCTCCACGGCCCTAAAAACTCTGCTTCACTCTGTCTCTGAAGTGACCAGACTCAGAGGTTTCCTCCTCATCTTGGAAATTGTTCAAAGATTTCCAGGATTTCCAAGACTTGTTTTTTGTGGCCGTGAGTGCAGGCCCCAGCTGCAGAAGTGATTGCTGTTCCTTTCAGTTCTAGCCAGCACAGCCAAGTCTCTTCAGATCCTTTTGGGAGGTGCAGGTGCAGCTTATCAAGGCTTTCCCAACATTTTATATCATCCCTCATCTGCCTGGGCATCCTTGCTCATCATCATCAGGCTGTTGTAGGTCACAGGCAGGATCCATCTGTAGGAAAGGGCCGAAGGGATTAAGCTCTCACTCTTCCCTGGCTGCCATCACTCCTGGGTGTCACAGGACCATCCAGAGCTGGGCTGGATTCAGGGGTGGGGACCACAAGCAGTTGAGTCATCCAGGCAAGAACATTTCCTCCTCCTCAGTGCTCCAGCTCTGCCTCCTTCTTCAGCCAGCACTTGCATTTTCATCGTTTCCAGAACAAGTTCTGACAGACAGGCTCGCTCGTGGTGCTCCATCCAGGAGACCTTAGTGGCAACTCCTTCCATGATCCAGCTGCTCAGGGTGCACAGGGCATGGCCAACACAGTGCTGGAGACCAAATGACCTGCCCTAGTCACAAAAGAGCCTCGTGTCAGCACCACACACCTGCCAGAGGGGTGGGACAGGCTGGTGCTGCACTGTGGAGCCTGGCTCTGTGCCCTGGCCGTGCTGCCATGGCCAGGGACTGTCCTCCACCTTTGTGTCTCACAGCCCACACTCAGGTGGCTCACGGGTGACTCCTGAGCTGGGAAACCTCTGGAGCCAGTTCTTCCAAATATGGAGAGGTTGGGTTTTGCAAGCAGTACTTCCTGCTTCAGGGAAAAGGAGAAGTGTGGTGGTTCAGGGGGTTCTGAGGGAACCAAGTGCTGTTACCAAGTGGGTTACATTGACAACATGACGTGAGCTGCATCCAGTGGCTCAGAAGAAGGTCTGAGTCCTTTGCCCCCATTATTTCAATGCCCCGGTTCCATTGAGGAAATACTGAGTCTGTGCCATCAGCACTGTCATCACTATCAAGTCCCCCCCCATCCCAGTTTGGACTGTCTGGAACCACTTGAGTCTTCACCAAGACGTTGGAGGCAGCTGGACCTCTCCTGACAGACATTTCCTTGGTGGAAATGGTGGATGTTAACAGGCCGTGGGACATGGGACGTGTCTTCCCATCCCTACAGGCTGCTCAGGAGCGATTTCAGGAGTGGAAGCCCCACGGTGGATGCCCAGGGGTGACATTCAGCTCTCGTTGAGCCTGTGGGGATTGTTGGCTCCAGGCCTGGGCTCTATGGCAACAGGAACCCGAGAACCGGAGCGGAGACGGTTGCCATCTGAAGTAACATATTTGACAAAGAGATGGAAGAGTTTATAAGACATACTAGGTTTTTTTTTATAAATTATAACCTTTTTATAGGAGTGCTTTTCGAGGGTGATGGTCAGCATTTCAGGTAGATAACAGAATAGCCCTTTATTCACAATTGTGGTACTTGCTCATCATTTATTTGATCCTAGTTGATGTTTATTCAGTTTATAGTACTGAGTAACTGAGGCACAACTGTTGATTTTGTTTGTGGCCTCAGACAACAGATGATGGAGATCCAGAGGGTTTCCCTAAGAGCTCACAGGTGACTTGCAGATCTCTGGTGTGCCCAAGTCCTGCTCAGGTGCCTCACAGAATCATAGAATATCCAGAGCTGGAAGGGACCCCCAAGGATCATCCAGTCCAGCTCCTGGCCCTGCACAGGACACCCCAACAATTCCATCCTGTCCCTGAGAGCACTGTCCAAACCCTCCTGGAGCTCTGGCAGCCTTGGGGCTGTGCCCACTGCCCTGGGGAGCCTGGTCAGTGCCAACCACCCTCTGGGGGAAGAACCTTTTCCTGAGATCCAACCTGACCCTGCCCTGGCACAGCTCCAGGTGTTCCATGGCTCCAGCAGCAGCAGTGCTGACAGAGGGTTGGCAACTGCAGGAACTCTCCAGTTACTCCTTCACATCCCAGGGGTGAAAGGGAGAAGAATTGGAGCACAGGGGGCTTTGTCAGAAGGGTTAAGTCCACATTCTTAGAAATCTTACCATCAGTGCGGTTTTCAGACATCCTTCCTTCACCAGTTTGGAGGAAGCTGAGCTCAGAGTAAGTCACTGGGACGTGAAGTGATGCAAACCCCAGTTCCAGCTACAAAGGAAGAAACTGCAGTGCAAGCAGGTTTTGAGGCAGCACCACGCAAATTCTTAACAAATAGTTATCACAGATCATTAAAACCTGGAAACAGCTGAAAGGGAAGCCAAGAAAAATCTACAATTCACCAATAAAACAGCTTTAGAAATGGAGCAGGTCCTCAAAGCAGTGATGTAGCTGAGTCCTGACCTTATGTTTGAATCAAAACTTGGTCAGTACACTCACCTCAGTGCCAGGTTTCCCTGGTACAATTCCTGAAGGACGAAAGCAATGTAAGCTTTTCAACCAGGAGAGAGCAACAGATAAATTCCATCTGTCGAGGCTCTGTTTTCTGCAGGCACCAAAAAATGTCAAGGAACAATTTGTTGCCATTTGTGTGAGGTTGTTAAGCAACATGAAACTCAAATATTGTGCCCATTCAGTTGGTTTTGGAGCAACCTAATTTGAGAAATGGAGAGAGTAACTTTGGTGTGATTCACAGGCTTGCACTGATTCAGTGTCCCAGGGCACACGAGGGTAAGAGCTGCACGTGCCGTGGTTGGTTTGGGATCTGCCTTGGGAAGGTCACAGCAGGTGCGGGGCTGGGTGGTTCTGTGGCATCTCTTAGGATTATAGAGACAGGATTACAGTATCCCTGATGTTGCCTGTTTTGGAGAGGTGTTTACAAGTATCAGCAGCACTTGGTGTTTGTAGCGGAGAACCTCCCGACCTCTTGCTCGTCTTGGTGAATCGTGGATCTGTGTGAAGCGTCCCAGTGTTAGCAAGGAGGTGGTGGGGATGGAAACCACAGCATTATGTGGTGGTTACAGGGAATAATACGTGGATTTCCTGTGGGAATTAGTACCAGAGTTCAGTGGTGGTGGAGTCTGGTCTTGATTTGGCACTGACCAGGCTCCCCAGGGCAGTGGGCACGGCCCCAAGGCTGCCAGAGCTCCAGGAGTGTTTGGACAATTCCCTCAGGGACAGGGTGGGATTGTTGGGGTGTCCTGGGCAGGGCCAGGAGCTGGACTGGATGATCCTTGGGGGTCCCTTCCCACTCAGATATTCTGTGACTCTGGTGTTAAGGGGAGGTGGGAAGTGGCCGGGAAGGCGCTGGGACTGAGGAGCCCTCACTCCGCCCCTTGTCCCCAGGTGACACTGCAGCAGTGTTGGGAGGTCGAGCTGCAGCTCCAGAGAGGGGCTGGGAGCGTTTGTTCCTTCCCGATGTGTTTGGGATGTAAAGCACAGGTGACACTGAGCCTGTTGTCGAGGGACAGGCACACCAGAGGTGTCACCAGCACCTGCAGCTCAGCACACACGTCCCACCTCGCTCGGACCCACCCGGCACGGGCAGGGCAGGCGAGGCCGGGGCTCGCTGCGGGGGCCCCGGGGAGGTTCCTCCACAGCGTCCCCCACCTCCGGTGTATTCTGTCTCCCAGGTTGGACTTCAACGGGTTCTACACGGAGCGCCTGGAGCACATGTCGGCCGAGCGCAGCCAGAAGGCAGCGCCGCTGCTGCCCCGCCTGGCCGTGCCCGCCCAGTGAGCCGGGACCTCCCTCCGCATCCACAGGGGGAGCTGGAAACCAGCCGAGGGCTGTCCCGGAGACACGGGGGAACGTTCAGTCTCCTGAGATGTGTGTAGTGAAACTTGTTCTTCCGACAGGCTTTTTGTTAAGTCGTCTTTTTTTTTTTTTTTTTACTGTGTTGTATAATGACGTGTCTGTGTATTGTAAAATAAATTAAACAACAACAACAAAAAATCAGAGTTATTTTGTCTGTAAACAGGGTGCAAGTTTTTGTGGCTGCCCCATCCCTGGAAGTGTCCAAGGCCAGGTTGGACGGGGCTTGGAGCAACCTGGGCTAGTGGAAGGTGTCCCTGCCCATGGCAGGGCTGGAATGGGATGAGTTCTGAGGGCCTTTCCAACCCAAACATTGTATGGGCTGAGCCCTCAGCAGAGGAGTTTCAGGGAACCTTAACAAGAGTCATGCAGCTCTTTACTTTGCCTGAGCCAGTTTGGGAGCAGGTGAGGTAGAGGCTGGAAGAGAAATGTCTCCCAGGGACAAGGGGTAACCAAGACATGTGCCAGGGACCGAGGGGCAAGAGTGGGAACCTGGGCACGTGTGTAAGGGCTGTGGGCACAGGGCTGAGTGCTCCTGGTGGTGACCTGCCCTTCCTCACTCCTTCACAAGGACCTCTGGAGTTCATTGGAGGGAAGAGCCAGTTTGTCTGTGCTCCATGGCCTAAAGCTGGACCTCCAGGGAGAGAGTGGAGACCACCAGCGAGCACCGAGTCTCAGCTGAAGTCATGGATAGTCATGAAATGCTCATTTTTGAAACCAGTGCCCCATGGAACTCCCTGATGCCACGTGGACCCTCCCCAATGTGCCACAGACCCTCCTCATACCCCGTGAATCCTCCCCGGTGCACCGTGGGTCCTTTCCAGTTCTCCACGGACCTCCACGATGTCCCGTGGGCCATCCCCGGTGCCCCATGGATCCTCCCCAGTGCCCCATGGACCCCTCCCCGATGCCCCGTGGACCCTCCCCTGATGCCCCACGGACCCTCCCGATGCCACGTGGACCACCCTCAGTGCCCCACAGCCCCCCAGGCCACCCCCCAGATGCCCGGTGGACAGCCCCGCAGTGCCCCACGCGGCCCGGGATGTCCCGTGGGCAGCCCCCGAGGCCGCGCGTCCCCCCGCGGTCCCCCCGGTCCCCCCCGCCGTGGGCGGCCCGTCCCGCCCGCCCCGCCCCGTCCCGTCCGCGGTGTCGGTGAGTCACGGCGGGCGGGGGCTGCCGGCGGCGCGGCGAGCGGGGGCACGGCGGGACCTCCGAGCATGGCCCCGCCGCTCCGCCTGCCGCTGCTGATGCTGCCGGCGCTGCTGCCGATGCTGCTGATGCCGGCGGCCCGAGGTGAGCGGGGGGTCCCCCGGGGGGGTCGGCGGCCGCGGGACGGGGCGGGCGGCGAGTTCGGGGGGCGTGCGGCAGGAGCGCGGAGCCTCGGGGGTCCTCGGCGCGGGGCAGGGGTGGAGGGGCAGGGATGGAGGCACCGGGATGGAGGTACCGGGGCATGGGGATGCTTTCCCCGGCGAGAACGAAGGGGACGCGCGGGGTGGCTCTCCGGGGGGAGAGGTCCGGGGAGGGCACCGCTGTCCTCACCGCCCCGAGGACAAGGATGAGGGGGAAGGGGCGCCCGGGGCCAGGCTCGCCCCCACGGGGACGCTCCCGGAGCCCCCCGGCCCCGCCGGTCCGTGGAGGCACCTCGAGGAGGATAAGAGGGTTCGCCGCCGCGAACGAGCCGGGGGTCGCTCATGACTCACCCGGTGAGGGGGCGTCCGGCTCCCACCCGTGGGCGAGGACCGTGGGCACCCCCAGAGCGAGCACCGTCCGACCCCGGCGTTTGGCGCTCGCGGGGAAGGCGAAGGGTTTATGGCAGAAATTCTCCGCTCCGACATCCAAGGAGAGGCTGGGAGGGGGCTGAGCCACCCAGGCACCAGCCGCTCTCCCAAACAGCCCCCACAGCCGCCAGACGCCGAGTCACACGCGGTGGCATCACGATGGGGAGCTGGAAAACCTCCCTCCTTATTGGCGCACCGGGGGCTCGGCGGGGTTTTCCAGCCCCAAAGGGACTTGCTCTCCCGCAGGTGATGCTGAGCTGTCTGTGGGCGCCGGGCTGGGGCGGGGGGGTCAGAGCATCCCCGGAGCCCGTCAGGGAGTTGTGTTCCCAGCAGGTATTTCAGGACTTGCTATTTGGGCTCTTTCCTGCGCCTTCATTTTGGCCGCTTCCATTGCCCCCTGGCTTCAGATCCAAGGGAACAGCATGAAGCTGTGCCAGGGAAGGTTTAGGTTGGATATTAGGAAAAGGTTCTTCCCCCAGAGGGTGGTTGGCACTGACCAGGCTCCCCAGGGCAGTGGGCACAGCCCCAAGGCTGCCAGAGCTCCAGGAGGGTTTGGACAACGCTCTGAGGGTCAGGGTGGGATTGTTGGGGAGTCCTGGGCAGGGCCAGGAGCTGGACTGGATGATCCTTAGGGGTCTCCTCCAGCTCAGGATATTCTATGACTGGGTTGTTCCTGGGCATCCTGCTCAAAGCCCTTTGGCTTTTCCCAGGTGCCACTGCCGGGCTGGCAGAGACGCTCACCCACGTTGAGAAGTACGAGACGGTGACGCCGCGAGAGGTGCCGGTGCCCCGGAGAAAGAGGGACCTCTCTGCACCTCGGGTGAGTAGCATTGATCAGATCAGCTTTTCCAGGCTGTTTTGGGTCCAATTAGGACCTTCAGAGGGTGGGGTGCACTCTTGGAGGGAGGGAACTTTCTCCTGCGCTTTCTTCGGAGACGTGACCCAGCGGTGCCACCTCTTGCAGCCTTGCAGTGATCTTGTGACATCTGGTCTTTCCTTAAGGAAGGGTTTGAGAAGCCTCGTGGAGCTGTAAGCACTTTTCTTGCTGTGTTTGCTGAAGTTGGTGTGGTTTTTTTTGTCCTTTGGGACAGAGAAATAAGAATCAGAAAGTTGCAGAAATCCACATGAAAGCAAGCCAGTGCTGTTTTTCTTGGGAAACCTGGCAATTTGGGGGAAGGAATGGGGTTTGAGTCAGGAGTTTGGAGTGCTTGGTGTTGACGTCTGTAGGATGATGGGCTTGCCCTCAAACTTTTCTCGTTGCCTTAAAGGGAAATTTGGCCAATTTTTTTTTTTTTGATTCATTTTCTAGACATGAAAAGCACCGATTTTAGCGCCTGAGGGGATGGACGAGCTGGGGACGTGTATTCCCTAGTGCCATACAGCACGTTCCTCTGTGATTTCAAACCCTTCCTGATAAACTAGCTTCAAAAACACTCCCCGAAAGCATCTGTTTTCCCTGCTCTAGAAACCTAAACTTGTCCACGAGATAAACATTCCCCAGGCTATTTAGAGACGCCATCTGTGCCGGGCGCGCCGGGCGGCTCTGCACGATCCCCCCGGAAAGGGCAGCTCACCCATCCCGGGATCCCTCTGGGGAAGACATCTGCCTTGAGCTGTGTGCTTTGGGACTGCCACGGGGGCTGTCTGCTGGGTGGCACCTGCATTTGGGCTTGGGTTGGGTGGTCCTCGGAGGTCCCAAACCTGCCGTGTTGAGGGGACGAGGTCTCCTGCCTTCCGAGCCACTTTCCTCCTCTTGGGGAGAGGTTGGGTTTGCTCTCCTGGTAACCTGGACGGAGAAGAGGTTCCCAGGGTGGCTTCACCACCACCAAACACCTCTTTGACATGGAGGTGGGTGTTCCTCATGCCCTGTAGCTGTCTCTGGCTGGGACAGACACGGGCCAGGAGCTGACTCCTGGTTTGGAGAGGCTGGGACACGTGGGATTGGTCCCTCAGAGCATCTGCCCAAGTGAGGGTGAAGCACAGTGGCTCCCCTCTGGCTTTGACTAGATCCAAATGTTCACCCCTGCAGACAGGGTGGAGACCTGGGTCCTGCAGGGCAGGATCTCCTGGACAGCAGCTTTTCCACCAGTCACGGGCTTTTCAGCAGGGGCACATGTGGCAAACCTGGATTCTTCATGGAAAGGGACCTAAAAAAGTGATCCCTGTCCCTACTGCAAGGCCTGTTGCCCCTTCCCATCCAGGGAAGAAACACCCTGTGCTGGGATGGGACGGGACATCCCATCCTCTGCAAGGTCTCTGGGTCTCTTCCTGAGCCCAGCTGGAAGAAATCCCCCCTCTCTGTGCTCTGTGGCCGTGGCTCTGCTGTGCTGGCTCAGCACAACCATGGGGCTCACAGGGCAGCTCCCAAAGCCTTCCCATCTGGAAGCCTTGCACAGCCCATGCTAATGAGGAGGGGGGTGATTCAGAGAAGCTTTATCCAGACTTTTTATTTTAAACTTGCCCTGCGGTTGTCTCCAAGAGCCGGGCCCTGACCCACCACCCCCTTCCAAGTGCTTTCCTGCCATTCCCTAAGACCTCTTCTGGC